ATCAAGAAGCGTGCAGTTGGTAATATACATCAAGCTTCCTATAAAGCGTTAATATTCTAATTAAGATACGGGATCACAAGTATTTTTGACTAAGTGTAAACTTAAATCTACCGATATTTTAACTGGTTTATCATCATACGCCTTTAACTTTTTAAGTATAGCCTCAATATACTGTGATTGAGACAATGACAAACCGTCAAAAGTTTTAAATAATTTAATCTCTAATATCACTTCAGCTACTCCCATATCTTTCATGTCAAAATGTTTTATCAACATTTTCTTAATCGAGGTAATAATGTTCGAATTATTTTCCATGATTAGCATATCATCACATATAGACATACGATCACGTATTTGTTAGGCGTGGTTTTGATGTAAACACATTGGACCCTGCTACAAGTATAGGCCCCTGCCAGGTTACACACATTGGGGGAGCCACATTTTTTTTAATATAGTGGGTGGGGCCCGTCGCTACAATGAGGGGCCAACTGCCCTGTACGCAGGGCATTCCCAAACACATTTATTACGTTCATTAATTTTGAAACCATTTGACAACATAACTTTGTCAAATTTTTCATGCCATTACTTTGGTCCTTGTTTTAATCCATACAACGATTTTACAAGTTTAAACACCTTATTTTCATTTCCCAGAGCAATAAAACTTTCGGGTTGTTCCATATATATTTCTTTTTCTAATTCACCATTCAAAAATGTAATCTTAACATCCATTTGATATGTTTCAAGATTATGCAACGCGGCAATTTCAATCAGAACACGTATAGACGTGATCCTTGTAACCGGTGAATAAGTATCGAATAAATCTAGTCCTTCCTTTTGTTTATATCATTTGACTACTAGTCTAGTCTTATACTTGTTTATTGATCCATCCGACTTCAATTTCATTTTGAAAATCCACTTGCAGTCTAAAACTTTGTTTCCCGAAAGAAGTTCAACTAATTCTCAAGTATGGCTATTCATGATGGATTCAATTTTATTATTAACCGATTCTTTCCAAAAAGGAGCTTCGGGTGAGGACATTGCTTCGTTAAATGTTCTTGGATTAGTTTTTGATAGATATATTAGAAAATCTGGATCAAATGTCTTATGAATCATTTGTCTTTTACTGCACCTTGGTTCTTCATCTACTTGATGATTACTATCTTCTTGATAGTTTCCAACAGCAATATCTTAAGTTCGTTTGTGTAAGCTTACTTCTTTCTCTTCGTAATGAAATATATATTCAAAGAATAAAGCATTCATCGATTCAACGATTGTACCTATATGAACATCAAGTATTTCAAATTTATGCACCAAAAATTGATATGCACTACTATTGTTTGCATATCCGATAAAGACACAATCAATTATCTTAGGTTCAATCTAGGTATTTGTACTTTTGCCAAACACCCCCACACTTTAAGATATTTGTAGGAAGGTTTTCAACATTTCCATAACTCATAAGGTGATTAATTCTTACTCTTATGTGGTATTTTATTAAGGATATGATCCCCCCCCCCCCCAAGAATTTTTTTTGAAGTAAGCTTGAATTAATCAACATTGCGTTCATCATTTTCTTTAAGTGTTCGATTCTTGCGTTCAGCAACACCATTAAATTGAAGTGAGTATGACGTTGTTGTTTGATGAATAATACCATATTCTAAACAAAATTCTTCAAACGATGCAACATATTCTCCACCTCGATCACTACGAATCGCATTTATCCTTTTTCCAAGTTGACTTTCAACTTCAGTTTTATAGTGTTTAAACTTTAAACACTTCCAAGCTTCATTTTTACTTTTCAACAAGTATACATAGCAGTATCTTGTACAATCATCTATGAACGTGATGAAATAATTTTTACCACCTTTTGTTTGGACGTGTTTTAAGTTACATATATCGGTGTGAATAAGTTCCAAAAGTGTTGTGTTACGTTCGACCGAATGAAATAATGCTTTGGCTAACTTAACCTCTACATAAATTTCGTATTTTTCATTTGTATTAAAATGCATATTCGGTAGTAAACTTAAATTCATTAGTTTACATATAGAATTAAAGTTTACATGTCCTAATCTATGGTATCATAAATTAGACAACTCAAGAATATAAGCAGAAGATGATATATTATTCCTTGAGTTATTAGGTACAATGGTGAGAACATTCATCTTGAATAGTCCATTTTCTACATAGTCTTTGCCGACATACATATTATTTTTAGTAAGTATAAATTTATTCGATACAAAAATTAATTTAAACTCATTCTTACTTAACAAAGAACCCGATACTAAGTTCTTGCGAATACCCGACAGGTGAAGAACATTATTAAGGCTAAGTTCATTGCCCGATGTCATCTTCAAAATAATTTTACCTTATCCTTCAACCTTTAAATTTGAAGAGTTTCTCATTAACAATTTCTCATAATCGGTCAGAGTGTAGGATGAGAACATTCATTTGTCAGCACAAATATGACAGGTAACATATGTATCCACCCATCATTCCACGTGATTTTCAATATTGTTGCATTCTAAAATAACGATCGACAAATTTATATCTGATATACCATTAGATATTGTATCAGATTCGGTGATATTCACTTGAGCTTGCTTTTTAGGTTTACGACAATCAACAAAATGATGGCCGGCCTTTCCACAACTATAGCAATTATCCTTGAACTTATTTGCATTCTTCTTGGATGGTTTGACGGAATGCTTTCTTTTCTTGTTTTTGTCCTATGATTCCACCTCATTAGCCTTAATTTATGGTATATGACTTCCAACACTTTGTTCGAATTTCAAATATCTTCTTCAATTCTCAACCGGACAATAAGTTCTTTAATATTCATCTTATTGCACTTATACTTGAGATAATTTTTGAAGTCCTTCCACATGGGTGGAAGTTTCTCGATAATTGCAGCCACTTGAAATGATTCAATTAGAGACATATTCTTAGCGTGAATGTCATAGAGTATAACCGCAATTCTTAAACTTGACTGATGACCATTCTAGAATCTACCATGTAGTCTAAAAATTTATCCACAATGAACTTCTTAGTCCCGGTGTCTTCAGTCTTGTATTTCTTTTCCGAGAACTATACATATTATATAATGTGTTATCCAACCCATTCAAAACATAGTTTTTGCATAAGAAGTCGGGATGTTTCCAACATCCAATGCAATCAATGATGCTCTATTATTTTCTCCTTCTTGTACGGCGGGAACATCTTCTTTCAAGAGTTTCGCCAAGTTTAGAGTCATGACATGGAATGGAATTAGTATGAACGGTGGTAGGGGCAATCGCAACCAGATGAATAACAACGGTAAGAACCAAGTTGGGTAACATTCCATCCGAAGTTCCCATATTCGAGTATCATTCGAAGAGGTATCGGTATTGTTAACCGTATTCATTTCTTTTTACACAAAACAGAAGATAAATCAAAATCAAAATTCGAGAAGGAGAAGAATTTAAACCGAAGTGAAATCAGTTTAATCGAATACAATACAAGAATAAAATTTTCACTCAAACAGAAGTTCGAATTAAGAATGTTGACCAAAATTATGAATTTGAGTGATGACTTTAAACCAAAGCAACGTACCAACCTTACCAAAATTTTAACAGAGTAACGGTAAAAATACTAAATGAAAATGAATGTCAAAGCAACGCCAAAAAGAAATGTATGCAAAGTCGAGGCAATAATTGAACTCTTTGTCCTTAAATCGAATTTGCCCCGCAACGGTACTTAGGATTATGACAATCAACTTTCAAGATATAACGACAAACTTCTTGTGTTAGTAGCACTTCAAAACACAAGAACAACGAACCGAAAATTGGATTTTTTACTCCTTTTAAATGTAAAATGGTAAAATCAGTTTTTATGTAAAATTCGGGCTAAGAAAAGTTGAATTTAATGTTATGCTATAATTGCATATCATTATGATGAACAAATGAACGTCTCAATGATCTAATTTATAGAGAATGAAAAGTTGTGAGTAAAGTGTCGCATCCCAAACTCGACAACCTTTGCCAAGGGTCGCAGCTTTTGCTGTCGCTAGCTTAACGCCATTGCATCGCTCGAGCGTCAAAAACAGAGACTATGTCGCTCGTCTATCACTCAAACGCGGACTCAAGCGAGAACCTCCTCGTTCGAGCGATAGGCGAGCAACGGAGTTGAACAATTTTTCAGCCAATTTCATCTCTTTTCTTCCAATTTCAGACCGTAATTTCTCATTCACCCGAAATTGGTTTGGAGATTCCAAATATACCACGACGATCTACTCGACGAATAAAACATGTTAGTCTACTTATTTACACAATTTGACTATCGGATCTAATCCAAATATTTGGTAGAAATTGACACAAATGTCACTTTTTCATGGTTTAATACTTCGAGCTTATTTGGAAGGAATTAAAATCCAATTAAAATTGAAAATATAGCCGTTATTGGGTCTCACTCGTCTAATTAAAGTAAACAATAACAGCTAGTTTTTTAATTTTAATCCGATTTTAATCTCTACCAAACAAGCTCTTAACCAATTCCAACAAGGAGTAACATGTATAAGAACTGATACAGAGGTAGAGAGAGGAATTTTAGGACCGCATACCGAAAAATTGGAATTTGAATAGAAACGACCGCTAGAGCCAAGGGGTATAAACCTCACATGTCGCTCGACCTGTGGCTGCCATGTTAGCCACTTAAAAGACAATTTTCTTGTCAGCGTAGACTAGAGGCACAGTTTCAAAGAAAATCTGCTTTTAAACAAATCCAAATTAGAGAAAGTAAACTCGAAAGCATCTAGCCATTCAAATGCATAATTCATTATGCAAGATCTCTTATTCGTCGCATTAATTACATATTATTGATCTCAATCTATGCAATGAAAGGCAAAACTAACCCGGAAAATAAATTGTTGATGAAATTACAATAATACAACATAGATGCATTACCACGCTACCTTATTGACAGAGCATCCAAAAGCCGGTTGGACCTTAGTTGTGGAGGAACTTCATTCATAAGGATGGAGGCATCCATATATAGTCATGTGTTTGAACATAACCTGCCCTTTCTAACAATTCGTCTGCTTCTACAGGCCCTCTACTTCCCATCTTGTATGTAATTAGCTTAAACTCTCCATCGTCTATTCGGTGTAGAAGGGGTGTAAAAATCTCCCATGCAGCCTGAAGATTGAGACGATTGAAATCATCAATAATGGTGATGAAAAACGAGGGTAGAAATACAATTGTAGAATGTATTATGGCAATACCTTCAACTCGTCTCTACGTACAAAATGTTGCTGATCTCCTTTTATTCTGTATTTAAAGAAAACACAAATCTTGTTATTATATAATAAGAAACACAAATCATGCAGATTTACTGAACATAATCCTACGTGTCAAGAATTAGACGTTCATAAGCCTCTGGAATGACAACCCCTTGGTAACGTTGTGTGTAAGACAAGTCTAGTTCACTTTGAGCAGTTGACATCTCCAGGCCGGGCTGCTTGACCTGTAGAGAGAGATCAGACTGAATCGGAAATGAAGATCATGGGCTCGATGGGACTGATTCACTAAACAAGCATAATTACTGGTATACTAGATAGATTTCAAGCATCAAATACATTCACGTGCACCTGAAGACGAGATACAACTAGAGAAACAAGAAAGAGGAGAGAATTTGTTTGCTAAGACCGCTGAAAAGGTTATATTATCGTATCGAATTTCATAAGCCCTTTGTCATTACATAAAACGGACTACAATAATTTCGAAATCTACCATAACCAGCCTAGCTAGTAGCTTTATGCAAAAAACTAACAGAAATACTCTTACCATAAGCTTCATGTACATGGCCTCTGAAGGTTGAAGACGTATTACAAATTCATTTCTTCCTTCTTTTTGACCTAAACAAGTTATATCTCATGAGGTACAATGGATAGATCAGGAGATTTGACTGAAAATATTCTCTTGCCAATTAAAACGATAAATTCAGGAAAAACACACACACACACACACACACACACACACACACAAAAAACAGAGTACATGGTTCCACGTACCTTTAAATATGTCGCCAGGAACATCCTTAAACTGAACACGTATTTCTGCCTTTCTCGAGTTTAGAGCTTTCCCTGCCTTGAGTACGAAGGGTACACCTACAGCAAGTAGTTGTAGGTGATGTTAGAACTTAGAAACACATGATCGTATAGGATATACTTCCAATTTAACTACATAAAATGTTCCTAGCTTTAGAATTCCAAACTCTCACCCTCAATAGAAAAAAGTATGAATATAGATGTAGATGACATAGGTAAACTTGTATGTATGTTATTCACCTTCCCATCTTTCATTGTGTATACGCAGAATCATTGTTGCGAAAGTAGGAGTGTTCGAATTGTCAGGAACTGTTGGGTCATCCTTATAGCCTTCATATTGTCCAATAACCACCTCTTCATCTTTAATTGGAATCACCGATTGGAGAACCTGAATTCCAACTGAATCTATAAGTGAAACGGGAAATTCTTGTAGTGCAGGAAGCAGGAATAGTTCAAGAAATATTAAGTGCATGTTTGGCAAAGCTTAACTTTTTATTTTTATTTTTGAAGTTGATCAAGCATAAATCCACATATTTCATAAGACCCACAACCTACTACCTACTTATTATCCCCAAATTCCGTAAGATCCACAGCTTGTAAACACTTAAAAGCACTCCAAAATATGCTTTAAGAAACCGAAGGGACTCAAAAATAAAAACAAGTATCCATGCAAAGTCTCTATTGTTTTTCCTCCCAAGTAACCAAAGCAAGGTTGTCCGAAGGGCATAATCTAATACATACCTTCACTTTCTCATCACGGATGTGCTCATACTTGAGAGAAACAGGCTTCTCCATGGCTACAAGGCAAAAAACCTGCAATTTTGCAAGGATGCACCATGTTATAAATAAAATGCAGAGATTATGGCCATTCAACTCTTTACCAAATAGTTTGAGGCATTAGATGTAAAAGTGGCTTTCTTTGAGGTAATTCTAAATCATATACTTGACAAGGTGCAAATTGCTGACAAGGTTCACCTGCAATAGGTGATTCTGAATAATGTCACGGATAATTCTGTAAAGGAAACAAAAGTAGGATTATTGTGTATCCACCTTAAAAATCTCATGCAATAAGATAAAGTGAAAGAAAAAAGCACCAATTCTCCAACCATACTCTTTAATTAGTTTGACAACAAATATAGAAGCATGGCGTTAAGTGCCTACCCATATTGATCAAAATATCCACCACGGCCTTCAGTTCCAAAATCTTCCCTGAACACAATCTGCAGTTGCAGTACAGAGAAATCGGTAAGCATGATAAGTTAAAAAAAAATTCAAAACATTAACTATTAATAATTGAAGTGCATATATGTGTGTAAATGTATGTAGAGAGAGAGGGAGCTGTTCTGGGAGGGATTAGAAGGAAGTGTAAAAATACCAACCTGTACATTATCAATATTGTCACGATTCCAGAGAGGCAAGAAGAGACGATTTGCAAAACGAAGTACCAACTGTAATGTTTGACAAGACATTATGACAAATTAATTCCGAAGAAAATGGACTAAAACAATGAGATAATCTGGTAAGGTACGCTACCAGGTTCTGCACTAGCTCCTTTCCCAAATAATGATCAATACGATATATTTGTGGTTCATCGAATAATTCTCCTATCTGGGAGCTCATTTCTTCAGCTGAAGCCAAATCCTTGCCAAAGGGCTTCTCAACAACAATTCGAGTCCATCCCCCGAGATTAGCTGAAAAATTATTAAATAAAGGATTCATAAACATTTGAAACTTGATGTGCATGAATAGTTAATTAAACAAGTGGTTAAAGAGATGGAAAGGTATTGGATAAACAGAATGCAGCAGAATTCGATAACTAATCACTTTTTTCTTACTGCATTTGTGTTAATATGGAACTCTATTCTTTTGTCGATATAAAAACTCAAACCAATTGTCTTGCACCATTCAGACAAAGCTAAAAATTCAATCTTGGGGGAACCAGAAAAGAATGTTGTTAAGCAAGGTTTACTGTTTACACTTCCCCTGGTCATTTTTGACTTTCATCCAGTTGTCAAAAGCGTATAAAACCATTTCCCCCTTCAGTTAGTTCTATCTCAAAAGAGTTTGGACCGTCAAATTTTCAGGTAAATTTCTGTCAAGACAAAAATTGTTCATTTCTTCTCTCAGTTGTACCCTCTTTTTCTGCTCCTAATAACACAAAGCATAAGCACCACACACTAATAGCAACCTGAATAAGATGCACAAGAAGATGTTAGTAAAATTACTGTCTGCCATAATCCGTAACAAAGCCTGATGATAATTGGAGACATTCACGGGATGAAAGATCAATAATAAAGACTATAGCATGCATTAGTTCTCAGCAATGCTAAAATTATTCTGGAAAAAGAATACATACATTTATTCATGCAGAAACTCTTGATCATTTTGCAGACTTGTGGATATACTGATGGGGGAAGTGCAAGGTAAAAGAGCCTTCTGGATAATCCTTCTGTGATGTTTTTTGATATTTCATGCTCAGCTATTGCCTTGTCCAATGCCTGAAAGCCTTCTGAGGTATCATAAGAGCCAGTTACATATTTGATCTGCATTAGCGATAACAAAATCAGCCTCATCATCCTTGGAAGGTTAAAAATAAGGAAAATCACAAGCAATGTACTAACCAATTGGAGGAACTTTGATACATCTTCTGCATATTCTTTACTCTGGGGAAGATACCTAGAATCATTAAGAAAAATGTCAACGAATCCAATGAAGTCAGTACATGCATTACCACAAACAGAATCAGTTACAATCATATAAACCATGAAAGTCATATGATGAACAACAAAGGAAAATGCAGAAATATTAAATATTTCAGTTTTGCCGAGAAAATAATCAAGGAAAACGAGCGGGAAGCTCCATACAAGAAGTACATAGACATATACAAGCACAACAACTAGTTTTCACCATAGACTGAATATACAGGAATCTCACCCTCGAATGCGGTCCCTCAATTCATCATCAGAAATCTTGGTCCTTGCATAGCCAAAGATGTGAACTTCGTCTGATTGCAAAAATCCCTAACACCCCAACCAAGTCAGAAACTAGAATTTAAGAGATCTATTAAGTTTCACCATTTAATGAAATGCCATCTTCCCAATTTTCTTTTTCAATACGTGAAATGAGCACTGAGTAATCACTTTCATGATAAAAAAAATTTCATGTTAGAAACATATAACACACACCAATTGCATACAAAGTATATAACATTCACGACAGAAACAAAAGGAGAACCAAAATTCTATTACCTTCCCATAAAGGTTAAAGAGCGCCGGGAAAGTCTTTTTCTTGGCAAGATCACCGGAAGCACCAAGGACAATAATGGAGAGGTATCCCGTTTCAGTTACATTCTCATCCTCTTTCCTAGAAGATTCATTCTTAAATCTTTTCTCACAGTGCCATTCACCAGATGCCATTCTCCAAAACTCGAAAATACCAACAAACTATCACAAGAGCTTAAAATTCACCTATTATAGCTCCAGATCTGCATAAAGTGAAACAGAAATTGAATACCCGTAATCTAATAATTCCACTATCATTTCACTTCAACAAGCAATCGATCAAACTTTTAAANCTATCATTTCACTTCAACAAGCAATCGATCAAACTTTTAAAATTACTGAACATTTATATTCGAGCAACTGATTCGAGAAAAAACTAACTAAATTCAAGATTAAAAAAAAAAAATCAGTTTACCTAATACGAACAGAAAATAATCAAATACAGTGGAATTAAGCCATTCAACCCAAAATTAAATCATCGGGGGTGAAAATGAAGTTGTATAAAGACAAACATTATCTGATAATAATTATGAGTCGATAGAGCGAAAAATTACCCTTATCCGTCTATCTGTAGATTGTGTGGGTAATCAAGTTTTAATTCTCATCACATTCACATGTTGACTGTGACATTGCTGTCTTGAAATTAGCCGGTGGTAGTGTAGTGAAGTGTCGAGTGTTGGTTTGTCTCCCATTTTGAAAGGAGAAATAGAGTTTGGAATAGTATTTTTTGGGACAATGATTGGTTGAAAAGTAAAATAATTTTATTAGTTTGTGTGTAGGGGCGAAGTCAACCCAGGTGGACGTCGACAATGGGTATTGGCTCTAGACCTCTAGTTGGAGAGAGTGGAAGACACGAAATGGGAAGTCCACAGTGTTGGAAATTTAAAATAGTAGAGTATTGAAAAAGGAAGCTGCATAGAAAAATTAACACTCACAAATGCAGAGTATGCAAGTTATCTGCTGTACGCCTTGTTTCAGAATTGAAGGTGCCTAGGCTTACAAGCAAATTGAAAAGCTAAAAAATCTCAAGTAATATTAGATATTATTGCCACTACTTTCAGACTTATTTACTAACCAAAAGACAGTGAATTAAGGAGCAAAAATCTGCAAGAAAAATAAATATAAAAGACTAAGTCAAAGTCAAAGTCGAAGTTGAATAATTTTTTAATCAATTTTCAACACACGGTTATCACAATCAAATTCATATATGTATTCACACACACAAAAAAAAAAATTGAAACAGAAAGAAACGGAAACGGAATGGAATTACGGAAAGCCGACAAGGTACCAGTTACACTTACCGGCAGCAAGTACAGCAACCGGGTAAGGGGGAAGGAGAAGTGAAGATCCGACCGCCGACTGGGTAAGGGAGAAGGAGAAGGAGAATTGAAGAGTGAAGGGAAGGGGTTTCGGAGTAATGCCGTAATGGATAATTGCCAGTTGGATTATTTCATTTATATGAGATTTGGGCCTAATTTTGAAGAGAAATTATTGAAATTACCCAAAATTGAACAATAGTCTTTCCAAAATACCCTTTGACCATTCAACCAACATAAACTATTTAAAATGAGTAATGTTATTCATCCCCAGTGGGGATGAAAACACAGTTTATGTGGTTTTAAATGATATGTTAAATGAAAGGTGAAATTAAATGACTTATTTAATTTCACATATCATTTAATGCTACATGACGCCACGTAGACTGTGATTTCATCCCCAATTGAGATGAATAGCATTACTCATTTAAAATACCCTCAAAATCCAGAAATTATAACCAAGTCATTTTAA